TGCTCCTGCCCGGCTGTCAAAGATCACAAAACCAACAGGCTAGTAGGAAAAAGAGAGAATACCCTTGCAACTCTTCCATCTTCCTCGCAAAACAAAACAGAACAACCAAAAGCAACTCTTTCCCATTTCCTCCCTATGTTCAGCTGGAACACTAGAAGATTCTCGTGTACCAAGTCTCCCACCCAGGTACCACATTGTGGGAAATCATGCCAATCGAGCTTTATCCCTTCGCCCTTTCAGTAAAAGTCTTGTATTTTAAATGCATGCAGCTAAGTTTGTTCCAGTGTTTTTTCCAAGAAGAAAGGGGACTCCAGTATATCAAGTGCATGGGATTCAATCAGGGGCAGCAACAGGTTGAAAATTCTCCAACCTCATTTTGCCAAGGTTTAGTCCAGACTCCAAATGGCCCCCAGCCTCCTGGCATCAGGAACCAGGGCACAGCCATCATTTCTACGGTCCTCAGCCTCGTTTCAGGCTGTGGCTTCTCAAGAGCCAGAGATGGAGGACCAAGAGCTGACTGGTAAGAAGAGAGGACCTGAAAGCCACGGTTTCATCAGCCCAAGATGGAAATGGGATGACAGGGAGCAGCTACCAAATGCCTCAAGATTGAGGAGAAGGCAACAGGCTTAGTTCAAAGGTCAGCAGTTGGTCTGGGCTGGGAAGAAGAAAAACCTGGAGAGAAATTACCTGTCTTGATGTGAGCTTGATCAGGGACCCTTCATACCCCTGCAGAAAGAGGTGGTCATTAACGTTAGGGGGAGGTCAGAGCCTTTGCTGTGCTGCCCAGTCACACCGCCTGCCCCCCACCTCCAATCACTCCACCTTTCCCCAGTGGTCGCCTGTTATCTTCCCCCTACTTGTCCCCCAAAGTCAACCCATTCTGACCTCCACCACTGTTGGGCGCCCTCCGCCCTGTGTTCTGTATCCCATGGTCCAGCACATGGGTGGGCATCATACGAGAGCAGTCATCATTTCATGCGTAAATTCCCATCTGCTCCACTAGCTTGTAATCCAGACACACAGACTTTACCTTTTTAAGTTTTCTCATCTGCAAACTACAAGGCTACACTGAATCTCAAAGATTACTTCCTGAGATTCTCTAGGTCTCCCTTTTACAGATGAAGAAATGGAGGCTCAGAAGGGCTAAGCAATCGACAGAAAGCAACATGTGAATTAGAACCAGGACAGAGATCCAGGTCTGCGATCAGTTTCTGACCGACGTCTTCCTGCTGCCCAATCCAGGGCAGAGATTCATTTTTGATGCTTCTCCTCCATCCTAAGCTCTGCCCGTGGGTGGCTGGGTCCTGACTCACCTTGAACGGCCGGAAGAGCAGGTAGAGTTCTCTGGGTTTAATGTCCACAGGGAGGCCACTGACAAACAGTGTCCGGACCTGAGGACAGAGAGCACAGTGGTCAGGGTGAGCTCCTCAGGAAGGAACTGGAATCCTTCCAGAGTTTAGGGAGGAATTCAGTGTTTCCTGGGCCTCCTTTGCAGGCCGAGGCAAATAAATACTCAAAGAGTTTCCTAGCATTTAGCTTTCAAAGCCCTTCCTGTACACTCTCCTTTCTCTAGATTTATCCTGCAGGTGTCACTCGACAAGCACCCATTGAGCACCTCTATGCAAGACCGTCTGCTGTTAACCACAAGAAGAGAGAACCCTGTTTAATAATGTATAGATCAAGAACCCCTCTGATATGTGAAGCAAGCTATGGAGTCTTACCCCCCAAAATGTACAAGTTAAAATGTATATATTTTTCAGCAGATACTCATGGACCCTAGGTTGAGAGGCTCTGTCGGGTCTAGGGGAGAGGCAAAGACGTAAATGGAACATACATCCTATGCCACGTGCTGGAGCCACCACTTTCACACCCATCTCCTACTGCCTCTGATGCCACATGTAGGCTCTTCAATGGCAGGGAATGTGTTGTATTCTTGCCTCTATGCCCAGCTCCTAGTATGGTGCTGGTACTAAATGTTTCCTGAACAAGGGACCTGGGTAAGAAGTCATAGATGGAACAATTACACTGGGTTTTGAAGCATGGGTAGGATCTTACCAGCTTCAAGTGAAACAGATGATGCTATAAGTTACAAGCCTTGCCTTCAACATGGTTACAAGTTGGTGGTAAGGCCAGGTCTAGACACCAGAGGTCCCATCCTGTGACTCCAGCCAAACCTGACCACTTGAACTGCATGTAAGGTCCATGAGAGGGTTGACAGAAACACTTTCCTAATTCACCCCTAGTTAAATGTTGCTGGCATTCAATGCTAAACTCGCAAGCCCAGATCAGCCAACACTTATAGTGGGGAAGGAAAGATTTTCCATAGTTTAGATCCATTAAAAATCCATCTTGAAACTAGAGCTTCTTGAGTAATGAAAAATCCAAGTGAGTGGAGCTTCCCTACACACTTGACTCCTATTTTGAGCCCTATCTCATACCACTATGCCAAGCAGAGGTCTTCTCAATTCATCACTGTGGATTTAAGAAAAAGTTCGCATGCCTCCACCCACCCCATCACCTGGCCATTCTTGAAAGCATTTAGATGCCCTACAGTTGGCTACATCCTCTTCTCCAGAGGCACCAAATAAGTTCCTCCATGCTCTAGTGATGGCCTATTGAAACCAGGCAACAGCTTTTTCAGAAACAATGGCTTGAATGAGGAACCTAGAGCATCCAGGCAAAGTAACAGCCAACACACACCCAATACCTCCCCTTCCCCCAACATACACACCCTCAACAACAGAGCCAGGAATGACAAAGGAAACCAGCATGGATAGCTACTGGCAATCAGCCCTACCACCCCTACTCCCACAAGAAATGACTCCCAGCCCGCGGGTGATAAGAAATGGGTAAGGACAAGCTTCTCCCCTCACATGAGTTTTTGCCAAGAAGCATCTCCTTGCCATTTAGGATGCACCTTTCCCTGTTAGTCATGCCTTTCCCTAATCAGGCACTCCTCTGCTCCCAGGCCTGGGGTGAAGGTTTTGTACACTTCGGAGCCCCTGGCAGCTCTGCGAACCTGTACACACAGGGTTCAAGCGCTGCCCTGTTCCCAGGAGCACCTGGGAGAAACGGGACAGCTGAGGCTCCAGGGGGTGGGCTCAACAGAGCTCCTGGACTCCAGAGGGCCATCAGCCTCCACAGGCTCTGCCCTTTGATGGAAGGGCTTTTCATTTCCATGTAAACCTCCAAACAGAAGCGACTGGCTCAGGTCACACAGCTTTTCTTTAAAGGCAGCAGACCTGGGACTCAAAATCCATGTCTCGCAACTACTCTTTTGGGTTGGTCGAGACGACACTTGCTTCTGGGTGGACCTGGATCTCTACTTCTCCCTCCTCCCTGGGATGACAGGACATGATCCGGGTCAAAGATACACAGCCAGAGCTGCCTCATAGAAACCTCTGCCTCAGTTCTCCCCAGGGGCCACCCAGTTCACAGGAGCTAATTTTAAACCCTTCCTCAAATGGCTCCTTTCTGGCCAGACCTCCCCAGAGGCCTCCTTAAACGGCAAGTTCTCAGCACAAAGTTTCCTGCTTGGGTGGGGGGAGGGGAGTGAGTATAAGGGATCTTTCCCTAATTCCCTGCTCAGATCCTTGTTTTCAGCCTTCCCTCTGGGCCAGATGTTTCCAGCCTTGTCCTCTGGTTTCAATCTTTTTAGGTTCTGAAGTGTTCAAAAGGCTACAATGTCGCTCCCATCCTGTCCCTGGCCACCTCTCCGCAAACAAGCCGAGGCCCAGGCAGTTATGGGTTAGGTGGTAGGTCCCTGTCTGCCAGGTCACAGAACCTCTGCTGGGAGCAAAGTCTAGGAGGTTAAGTAACAGGAAGCCTCACCAGACTACTTACTCTCCCTGGTTTTTACTTGAACCTAGCCACACCAGCAGATGACAGGCACTCTGCCTATCCCTTGTGCAGACAGAGAAACTGAGGCCCAGAAAGAGCTCAGGCAGCTTAGTTCACCAAGGAGCAGGGCTGGGTAAGACCCAGGCACCCTGCCTCAGCCATCTGTTCCACCAGCAATCCATCCTACTGTGGGGACAGAGGGTGTGAGTGGTACCTGGGTGCCCTGGTTAGCTTCATGGGGGGGGGGGGTTAAGGTGTTGCTATACACCCCTTCAGTAGCCAGTCACTTCCCTAGGCACTTGTTTAGGATGACAGCCAAAGCTAGAGTGACAGGGGCAGAACTTGATGAAACTGGCAAACCACGGTGGGGGCAGCATGAGCTTAACAGGCTGGTCAGCTACACGTTGAGAGGACAACAGCTTCTAGAGCAGCGGTTCTCAACCTGTGGGTTGCGACCCCTTTGGGGGTCGAACGGCCCTTTCACAGGGGTCGCCTAAGACCATCGGAAAACAAAAAGGTATTGACATTACGATTCATAACAGTAGCAAAATTACAGTTATAGAGTAGCAACGAAAATAATTTTATGGTTGGGGGTCACCACAACATGAGGAACTGTATTAAGGGGTCGCAGCATTAGGAAGGTTGAGAACCGCTGCTCTAGAGCCTAAGGCCTGACTCAAGGCAGCTGCTTGTGCTGCCCCTCAGCCCGCCCCCTTCCTTGTTCCTTAACTGAAGGGCAGCCATCCTTCAGGGCCCTCTACTTCTTTACTCCCCTTTCCTTGCTCGGAAGTCAAACAGGGGCCCTTAGACCCCCTGCCTTGTATTGCTCCTACCCGCCTAAACTTACCCCCTCAGCTGGACTCTGCACAACACCAGACAGGAGCCAAGTCTCAAAACCTTCCCATCCTCCACGGTGCCTGGAGTCAGGCCTTAGCACTTGATCTCCGCCGTCTCTACAAACCTCAGTCCCTCCAAAGCAATTCCCGGCCAGACGGACGTGGCCCAGCGCAGCAGGGATGCCATAAATGGGAAAGGCGACAGGCTTTAGTTAGGCCACAGCCTGTGCCCCAGCTTTAGGCTTGGCATGGGGGAAGGTGCTTCTTCTCTCCGAATCTCACTTCCTTTATCTGTACAACATGGATACCGTCTACCTCCAGGATGAAGACTTCACCTTACTCCGTGCCCAGCACATAGGAGGCTCAACAAAATGCACGTTCGTTTAGGGCTCCTGGAATCACAGCATTTACCTGCACGAAAGCCTCACCCGTAAGGTACCATGAGCCATGTATAATATTTCTAAGTGCCTAGTGAGGCTGGGTCAGGTCTGGGTCAGTGTACAACTGGCAACATGGGTGAGACGATCTTAGGCGGTCACTGGATTCCCTAGTTTTCCTCTTCCCCGGGAGGTAATGACCAAGGGGGAAGGCACCATGGAGATCAGCTAGTTCATCACTCTCATTTATAAGGAAACTGAGGCTCGGAATAGGAAGATGACAAGGCAAGCTGGTGGCACAGTCAGGACCCTTTAGAGATGGCAGGGACAGACATGCAGTTACTTCTCCAAGGCCTGTCCAACTCATCCTGTGTCCCAGGCCAGCGTTCGAGACCACTCTTTCCATGCCACTTGCTGGCAACAGGGCCCAACTTTTTTTTTTTTAGCTGAGCCATCCTGCCACCTGTTAGCAGCTCAGCAGCTGCTCAGCTCGGGCTGGGACTTGAACCGCTGTTGCTCAGAGCTCACACTCTTGAGCAAGCTCTTAACCAACTGAGCCGCTCAGCCGGCCCCCAATATTTCTTAAAGAGGTGGGTGCAGACAAGGATTCAGACACTAACAGCTAGCTGGTTAATGCCAAGATGGAAAGATCAACCTAAGAACCCGTGTCTTGTCTATTCCACAAATTTATTATGAGAATTCAACACAAACATGTTTTCAGGGTGTGAAGAAAACCTAAGGGGTGGTTCCCACAACCTTAGGCTGCTAGCAGTCACTACGCTCATTTACCTTTACCTGACCCTTCTGCCTCCATACACTCACCCTTTCTCCAGAAGTATCCGGACAAGCCAAGGGATTACCGTATTTCCCTATGTATAAGACACATCCTTTTTCAAAAAATTTGGGGTGTAAAAACCGGGTATGTCTTATACAGTGGTGGTAGATTTCAAATGCCATAGATAGAACTGAGGACGAGGCAATATATGAAGACAGTGACAGTGGTTCATCATCAGACACAGATGAGGACAAGCTAATGGTTGGGAGTTTTGAGAGTAATGAGGAGTTGAATTTTATGATGAATAAAACTTGAGTTCAATAACTTTATGTAATACTTTTCTTTTTCAAATTTCAGGCCCCAAAATGAAGGTGTGTCTTATACATGGGAGCATCTTATACATGGGGAAATACGGTATCTCCTTCCAGTCCTGAAACGTGGAAAGCAACCACGACCCTGTGAAAATGGTCATCTTCATGGCAAGTACGAGCAGACAGTGCTAGACCACGGCCATGTCCTTAGCACAGTTGGAAGATATGTTTGGAATGGGGTAGAGCAGATATTGGGGGAGAAATGGAGAATGGATTCTCCATCCTTAGAAGTCAGTGAAAGAAGAAACATGTTGAGGAACCCACTGGAAGCACCAAATTCAATACGGACTAGGAACTTGGTGTCCCCAAGGACATCGCAGACATGGATCTGTGGCCTTCATGGCAGTCAGGGGCAGACTTGGCCTTGCTAGCGGTCCCAGCCAGGACTAGGCCTGCCTAGGAGAAGCAACTGGCCTTTTGGCACAACTGGGTCCCCCATCCAGCAAGGCTTTGGGGGCTCCTCAGGCAGCTCTTCCCTTATGCAAGTCCTGCTGCCTGAAGTTGCTAGGAGGGCGGGGCTGGGGTGAGATCCAGCCCCTTCTGCTAAGTCCATAGGCTACATCACTGGTCAGCAGACTTCCTAGGGTTGTCTAGGTCTTTACTGTGTGTTCCTGGGCTCTTTCCCTCCAACTGGTGCTGGACCTAGAGTGTCTGAGGGCTCCTCACCTCCTCCACCAGGGGCCCCTGAAACTCACTCCCAATGCTCCAGGGGAGGGGCAGAGAAGGGCAGCACCTGAGAGGCACAGAAAGCAGTGGTTCCCCATCCTCAGCCTTATTCTTGAAGCCCTTGGGTTGGGGATGCCTCCTCCCACAAGAAAGGTTTAGAAGCAGCCTCTCAACCATACTTTCTAATCCCAGCATGATGGAGGACCCAGGCTCCGGGGGCTGCCCAGCCGTTTCCTTCAGGACCATGACAAAGAAAGCTGCCTGCCATCATCCAGGTTTTCCTCCCCCGCCCCTCTGCCCCCATCCCCCCCTTGTATCCTCCCCAGCCCAAAGGAAAGAGCTTACTTTTTATAGAGAAAAGAGAAGTAGAAAGAAGGGGCTCCGACAAACTCATTCACATCTATGTGTCAGTGATGTTTTTCCATCAACAAACTGAAACCTGTTTAAAGATCTTCAGAAAAAAACGAAATCAAACAAAAGCCTTCAGGAGCAAGGTGATAGTGACACCCAAGGCATCAGCCTCATGGCACCAATTCAGGCTTCTGTGGAAAAGGCATCCAGGCAGGATGTCTATCAACCTTTTCTATCAGCCCAGGGGGACATCTCTCTTGGCTCTGGACACTCCCATAGGCAGACTTGTCATTCGGGTGCCCCCAAGCCAGGCCAGCTCCCTTACTAGTAGCTCTTCAGAGGTCTCCCTCCTCCCCAGGGCACACAGAGGGCCCAGTTCACAGGGGACCCTTCAGGAATTAAGGGGAGGGGGCCAGCAGGGGAGGAGGAAGAGGTGGGTGCTCTATATAGAAGAAAGCAGCTGAGCAAAGCCTCTGTGTGGAAAAGGAACAGGACTGGGGTGCAGGGTCAGCAGGGGCTATGGAGCCCCTCCTCCCCAGCGAAGAGGACCCCACACTCAGTAGGAGGCCAGGCTGGGGTCTGGCCACTGCCCTCACCAGGTGTGTGCTCTCCTCTGCAAGGGGAGGTTCAGGCCCGATGATGTAGCTCCAACTCGTCCCAACCGTTTGACCTCCTTCAAAAGACCTCCTTCGTACTGGGCATTAAACACTCAACTTCTCAGTTAAGGATGGCAGCACGGTACTGTGGCCGAGAGGACAGGCTCCATATGGACCAGCTTTTATTAGACATGAAAAGGGTAAACACTGCTTTCAAAAACAGTGGTATGCCCGTGGATATTAAACCCTCAGCCACATATTTTTCAGGCCCCCAGCCTGATCATCTCCAAGACAGCAGCCTAGACTTCAGGGTCCACCTGTGAATCAAGGATGGACCTTTCTTCACAAAGGATGCTGAGGCAGGAAAACATAAGGGTCATTCCCCACCCTTGCCCTACCCCACACCCAAAGAAATTCCATGGGTCCACCAGTAACACTCTCCCTTGTAAGACAGGCTCCTGCATTCTAGGCAAATTCCTGCCTCACAAGGCTGGGGTTCAGGGAAAGACACCCCCAGGGAAACCTGACTCCAGGCAATAGAAACATCCTACCAAAGAGATACAGATGATATTTGAAAACTGATTCTTTGAAGCAATCCCTTAGCATCTCTGAAAGTTACAATTCAATCTGGAAAGGAAAAAACTGTTTCAACTGTCCACTCCATCAAAATGTTCAAGTAATAGGGCCGGCTGAATGGCTCAGTTGGTTAAGAGCTCGCTCAAGAGTTTGAGCTCTGAGCAACAGCGGTTCGAGGCCAGCCCGAGCTGAGCAGCCGCTAAGCTGCCAATAGGTAGCAGGATGGCTCAGCTAAAAAAAAAAAAAAAAAAGTTCAAGTAATGCGCTTGCTTCAAATCCCCGCCTACTGGCTGCTCAGTGTAAGCTCTCCTGGTGTCATCTGGATGGAAAACACCACTTAGGGAAGGTGGGGGTGGGGGTGGGGTGGGGATCCAAAAAGGGAAAAACAAGCCTCTCATAAGTCCCTCCCACATCCTTCCCCAGCTCCCAGCCCTCGGCAGCAACTTAAATGCAGAACATTTCAGCTGGAAGAAACCTTATTTTCAGATGGAGAAACCAAGGCCCTGGGGCCCGGTGAGTTGCTCGTGGTCACCGAGCATGTTAGGAGCAGCCCCTGGGTCTCCCGATGCTCATGAGCCAAAGGTCTTTTGCAGACCCTGATCTCACACCACCAACCCACTTACACCTCGGGGCGGTCAGTCTTGGGCACCCAGGAACAGGTAGGTGGCCTTCAGCTCCTGAGCTAAGAGGGTAGAAACTGCCCCTCGCAGAAGGCTGATTGGGGGGTGGGGGTCCCACCGGATGATCCCATGATTAGTCCTAAAGAGTTAGTTATAGAGAAGTCAAAGGGAAGCCAGACTGCCAACTCCCGGCTATTGTGGTAGCCTTATACAACTGACGGTGGCGGGAAGGCTAGAGCCGGGCTCCTCGCACACCTAGGACAGGACAGTTGGGCACATGTAGCCCCAGGAAGCCTGGGCTCACCCACCAGCCAGACCACGAGGGTTTATGAGAGGCAGCCTGCATTATACACAGCTTAGGGCTTTCCTGATCGAAAGATACTGAAGATCCTTTTGAATTTGTACCAGCAGCCACCATCACACACCCAGCTCTACTCTGGCTTCTCCAAAGGGAAGAGGCCCCAGTGAGAACCAAGACAGGGGACTCAGGCTCAGACATAGACACATACGAATACCTGTTGCCCAGACATAGACACAAAAGAAAACAAGCCTCAAACCAATTGTCAGGGAGCTTGGGTTAAAGTCCCAGCCCTGCCACCAGCCAGGCGGTGGCTTCGTGGCCTTATTCCCCTGCCTCAGCGATAAAGGAGAGAGGTGGACTAGCTCTGGGGTCCTTCACACCCCACCTTCTCAGGTACCAGGGAAGCAGGAGAAGGTGTCCTCCATCTGCTCAGGGCTTAAACTGAGCTCAGGGCTTTCCTTCTGCCAGTAAGAAAAAGAATGTGGTGAAGAAGGGGAAAGAGAGCAAAAGGGTGGGAGAACAGAAGTCAGAAGCCAGGCCCTGAACCAAGACGGGCCTGGGGGTTTGAGAGGGGTCTCTGCTGGGGCCCTATTGGAGTTGCAAACAGAAAGCTCAGAGCAGTCACACCCTCCCATACAGAGATTTCAGTGGCCGGGGTTTTTTCTTTTGTGTATGTGTGTGGTGGGTGGGGTGGGGCTGGGTTTTGCCTGGGTCTTAGGCTTGGCACCAACAGGTTGCTCTTACCCCTCCCGGGGTGGGTAAGAAGTCCCTCTGAGTGAGGCCACTTGACAAGAGGTGGATGGAATGTGGTGACATGGCCTGCAGACCCAGGACTTATAAGGGCTGAACAAGGGCACAGGGAAAATGAGCAAGTAGATACGGCCAGACAGTGGATGAGAACCTAGGCGCACATGCGCCCAGAACCCCGGTGCTTCCCTTGCTTCCTCCAGCGAGCTCTGGGCTGCTCGGCTCCCAGGCCAGGACACCGCCCAGCCTCCCTCCAGGAAACCCCCACCTAGGACACCAACAATGCCATCGCGGTCTGTCCCTGTGTGAAGTCCCAGGCTTAGGGTTTGCTCCAGTGTTTTGCCTGCCCCTGCTAATTCCAGCCCCAAGTCCCGTATTATCAGGCTTGGCTCTCAGGCCCCATCTGGGCAGCACTTTGTGGTTTCCAGCTCTTTCACGCTTACCATTGCTACATAAGCCTGGCACTCCTATGATACGACAGGAAGAGCAATGCTGGCCCATCCCTGAACCAGCTCAGGGATTAGGTGCCTGGCCAGCCAGTAGCAGAGCTGGGGGTCACGTCCAAGTTGCCTGGGAAGTTGGGGCTCTTCCCCCATAGCCTGCAATGCGTACAAGAGTTTTGACTGTGTGTAGGGGTGGGGAACCAAGCTGGAGTGATGAGAAATTCTCTAAAAGGAGGAACAGGGCTGGCATGTCTGAAGTGTTCAATAAGAAGTCTTCAGACCCCACTTCTAGGCCCAGAAACAGGCTTACCACCTTGGGAACATACATGGTCAAAGCCAGTTGTGAGCACCAGCCTACACCTCATTTAGGGAACCAGACCAAACAGCATGAATTGCACTGTGCAGACTCAGTGCTATGACCGGGCACCTGCTTTGCACTTGGTTCCAGACAGAGCCAGGGGCCAAAGTTTTCAGAGGCAACTCAGAGTGGCAGGCTCACAGGGCACCCAGCATGGAGGCCTCCCAGCCAAGCCTCCCAGCCAAGGTTCCTTCCCCGTCTGTCATCCACCTCCCATCCTTCCTGGTGCCCTGTGGGCAGCCAGTGCAGATCTACTGCCTGTTACCTGTGCCTGGCAAGGGTTGCAGTTGTCACCACTGTCACACCCCACCCCAAAGATTCAAGGCTTTGGCCTAGGGGAACGCTTACACCCCTCCCCCAGCTCCAAAATCAATACCTCCAACCCTTAAGCCACATGATATTATTTCAGCGTGAACACACTGCACTGGAACACACAGCACTGAGCCCAACATTTCTGCTCCCCACCTGACTAGGACAGATGACGCCTGCCAAGAGATGTCTCCTAACGTAAAGCTCCTGTCAGGAGAGGGTCTCTGTTCAGGCATGGAAGCTGCTTCCAGAACGTGCGTTCCAGTCTAGAGCTCCTCTGTCACAAATACATTACGTTCCCTCCATCCCAAGCTGTGCCTGGACATGGCCACGACTACACATCAAGAACAGGGACCGGTCTGGGTGGAAGTTCTTCACAGCTTTCACAGCGACCAAGGTTCTCAAAAGTGGTCTCAGGTCCTATTCCAGTAATTTCTCCTGTCTCCCCCCAAGTAAAAGCCCAAGACCCATTTGGGAAGGGGAGGTTGGTCCTTCCCAAGAGCAGCTAGGTACTGCAGACACTTACCCCGTGGCCTAGTCTAGGTCAGGCCCTGCTGCCCTTTGCCCTGGGAGTCCAAGTCCTGTTCTGAACTATACAGGTGGCTTTGAGGACTTGTGCCAGCCAAGGGCTTCTGCTCAGTCAGCCATAAGTGACTACAGGCCATGGCAGATGGGTCTAGGCAGACCCTCCCACTATACCCATCCTCTGCTATACTCCAGAGGTGCCCCAGCACAGATGGATCCACGAGTGGACTCTTTGGGAAGGGAGGACCCAACAATACTGTCACCTGGCTAGCGTTGGCACATCTGAGGCAACCTTCTTCTTTTCATCCAAGGATGGAGGAGGAAGCAGCAGGAAGCAAAGAGGCTGTGCTGGTCCCTGGGCAGGCAGGAGACGGGTTTCTGGATATGAACCTTCATGAGTTGTCTGCAGTTCCCACCTCACAGTATTCTAGTATAGTGATGGTCTCTGCCCCACCGCCTCACGGCACTGCCAGGGACATAAGGACCCTTCCAAGACAGCCACAGTCAGGTGATGGCAGAGGAACTCTTAATACTCATTCAAGAGGTGGGTGGCCTTGGACCAGGAGCTCAGCCGTCAGGGCAGGTGGGAGGGACTCCTGCGCTCCACCTCTCAGGGCTGTCTGGAGGCACAGTGGGAGAAAAGGGTGGAAAGCCTGAGAGCAAAGGCTCAACATCCCGCAAGTTCATGCCTTGCTTCTAGCAGTTGTCAGCCCCCTACTAAAAATGGGGATGAGAAGTCAGAATGTCCAAATGTTGAATGAGATTTAGAAGCTGGTCTTACTTGGGCAAACTAGCCAGGCTACCCATGTGCAAGGAAGGAGATAAGGAGACCCAAGAGAATGGCTACCCAAAATGACAGGCAGTCACGTTAGAGGAAGCCTCGCTTCTTTAGTTAAGATGCCCCAAAGCAGCAGAGTACGAAGGAGTGTGTGAAGACAGCCCCAGTCCAAGCAACAAGAGGGCATACTATCTGTAGAGAACTGAAAAATAATAAAACTGATTTGGTCTGGTTTTTATTATCACCACAAGGTGGCAATTCTAAACAATATCTGTGATAAAATGCTCCTCCTACAGGGGCTAACAGCTCCCCTCACCCAATCTTGGGATGCCACCAACCCAAAGGGAACTAGCTTGGGGTCACCTTCTGGGCTCCTATTGGGACCCTGGCATCACCCAAAGCTCAGGCCTCAAAAACTTTGGTTGCAGGACTTTTTCTCCCTCTGCCCTCAAGTCTCACCAAAAACCCTAATCTAAAACAGAACAGCAGGTATAGTGTGGTGAAGAGTAAACTCTGGGTTCAAATCCCAACTTACCCACTCACTAGCTGTGTGAAAAGTTATCTCACCTCTATGTCTGTTCCTCATTTATGAAATGGTGTGATAAGTGCTTCATAGTGCTACTGTGAGAGTTAGAGGAGTTCAAATGGTAAAGTGCTTAGAACGATGCCTGGCACAAATAGACGGGCTTATTATTACACTAATAATTACACTGTTTGAAGACAGCCTCTGCCACCGGCTATTTGAGCAGAGGGGACACATCCACAATAGCCAGGAGGGAGAGGAACCTCACCTACCAGAATCCGCCTGCATCCACCTGCCTGGGTCATTTCCAGGTCAAAGCCCAGAAACACAGACACCTCCCTTCCCGTATATCAAAAAAGCCTGTGGTTAGAATACCAAGAAATCCCAGATTCTGTCAAATGCTTTGTATGGCAGAGAAAAGAAAGGGAGAGGTACCCAAGTCGCATGCTAGCCCCCATAATTCCTTTACACTCATCTAGAGTACTAAACTCCGACCCTTCCTATCAGGGGCCAGAGACCTGGCTGGTTCCTCAGGAGATCCCTAGATGTCACATGATAGATCCAGGGATACGGGGCCTGCAAGGAGCCACCTTGGCCCAGTTATAGTGAATGCAATGGACAAGCAAAGAGGTGGGTGATAGGGCAGCAAGGGACTAACACCCTCCGGTCAAGCTGTCACCCCTTTAGCTGCCATTAATCCCTGCCGTTCTATAGTTTACTATTAGGGTGACATAAAACTTCTTTAACTCTTAGAAACTCAAACACCCCCACCCTGAGATTCCAAATAACACCCTCCCCCTGGGGGGCCTCCAATGAATAATTACTATAATTTAGTTTTACCTTGTAGTATGACAGTAAAGTCTCCGTTTTCAAAATAGAATGTTTTCATACTACACACACTCCTCCCCAGAAACAGTGAAACTATCTAGCCATCCCTCAAGAATCACTAAGACAGGACATGCTTGGGACTGGGGCTGAGCATCATGAGAGGCAAGCCTGCCCTCAGTAGGGTTCATGTGCTGTATTACCTCACCTTCTGGAGCCAGGCACCTGCCATGACCCCCCTGGGGTACTGTATACCCTCTAGATTGAAACGGACACGTAGCTTTTTCCCTGCAGACCCTCCCCTTAATTCCTCACTGTCCTTCTTAGTTTTCAAAGGGTATCAAAGCTTCTAACATATCTCCTTCCCAAGTGGCAGAAAAATACGAATTTCCCCCCAAGTCTGCATGATCTCAGGCTCTTTATAATGTGGCCCCCACTATTGCTGCAACATAGTAAACTCCTGGTAGTCACCCACACAAGCCATGTGGTTCCACCATCAACTCCCACTTTTATACATGCTATTCCCTCTTCTTGGAATGCCTTTCCTACCTGCACAGGTCTGACACCCTCCTACTCAGCCACTTCTTAGGAAGGCCTGACCTCTTAACTTCTCAGTGGTACCATGTATCCGTTGCTGATATCCCCTTATTTTATCTACCATTGCATTTAACATACCATCACTTCCGGGCAAATCCTTCTCACCTCCCAGTCTGTGATCTTTCACCTATATCCCCAACCCTAGTCCAGAAAAGGAACCTAATGCTTATCATATGGACGAAGCCCCTATGGGTAGGATGGGCAAGCAGGAAGAGTCAAGGCTATACAAAGCAGCTGTCAAGAGTCTAGGCTATAGAAAGACAAGCAGCTCCACTGAAACCTCCTCCTGGAACCATGAAAATATATCCCTTTCTCCAGTGACCTAACACCTTTAGGAATTGAGACCTTATGGTAGACAAGTAGGATTCCTTGGTTTTCTAGGGTTGCTTTAGTTAATCTCCAATAGTCAACTGGGAAGAGCCAACCTAGGTCAGACATGAGAGAAAACTACTACTGCTAAC